CCCTGAAGAAACCCTGAAGAAACCCTGAAGAACCCTAAAGAAACCCTAAAGAAACCGCAAAACAAAACCCTAAAGAAACTCTGAAGAAACCCTAAAGAAACTGTAAAAAAAAACAAGAGGCCCTAAAGAAACCCTGAAGAAACCGTAAAGAAACCCTGAAGAAACCCTGAAGAAACCGTTGAAAAAACCTGACGAGGCCCTATGAACTCTATGAAACGTATAAACCCTGAAGAAACCCTGAAGACACTGCAAAAAAACAACAAAAAAAAACGAAGAAACCACCCCCCAAAAAAACTAAAACAAAAAAAACGGCCCTCGCCTTTGCTTGACAGCCGACGCCTTTGGCGACGAACCGCCCGGCATCTCCTCTTGTCGCAAAGTTGCGACTCAGACAAAGGGGTTCGAAGGGTTTAGTGTTTAGGGTTTGGGGTTTGGGGTTTGGGGTTGCGGTTTTAGGGTTTGGGGTTTGGGCTTTCATATTTAGGGCTGGTGTAAAGACGCAACTGTAGGGTTGAAAGCTCGCTTGAGGGGGGAGGACTCCGTACCCCCAACCCCTTTGTAAGGACTGGGGACCGCCGACCTTGGCGGCACCTGTATGTATGGAGCATGGTTAGGTTTAGGATTTGGGGTTTGGGGTTTGGGGTTTAGGGTTTAGGGATTTAGGGATTTGGGGATTTAGGGATTTAGGGATTTTGGGGTGTCCCCCTCCTTATACTAAGAATCCCGACTACGGACTGTGAGTACAAGGGGGAACATCCCAACTGATATTCCTTGTTTAAGGAACTCTACATTCATTCCTAGACCTGGGAGTAGCCTGGGAATAAAAAGGGTGCTCTTTTTGGTTTTAAGGGGATTATAAGGGAACCCCAACCTTAAAAAAAAAGAAAAAAAAGGGCCTACTCCCGGTCCTTGACACTCAGACACCAAGAACAGTGATGTCCATAAACCTGCTTCAAAGAGTTTCGAGCGGCTTCCCGGGCGCTTGATGGCCCTAAACCCTGAACCCTGAACCCTAAACCCGAAGCCCTAAGCCCTAAACCCTGAACCTTAGGTGAGTGCTTGGCATTTCGAAGTTCGTTAAGGCTTCGGGAAGCTTCGCGTCCACGAGGGGTTAACACCTGCGTTTAGGGCTTAGGGCTTGGGGTTTAGGTTTTTTAGGGCTTGGGGCTGACAGTTCCCGGGTTTTTAGGTCTAAGGCTTACAATTCCTGGGGTTTAGATTTAGGTCCCAAGTCCTGTTTCTAGCTTGGCTTAGACATTTGGGGGTCAAGGTTAAGGGAGTTTAATGAAGGCTTGCGGGTGACCCTAAACCCTAAACCTTAAACCCTAAACCCTAGACCCTAACGGAGTTAGAGCGGTCCTTGCCGCTGCTGGCAGCGTGGCGTAGCACCCTGGGCGTGGTGGCATCCTTGGCAGGAGGTGTGTGGCTCCACAGATTTTCCCCGAAGCTGTGTACTTTGGGGGGTTTGAAAGGCCCTAAACCCTAAACCCTAAACCCTAAACCCTAAACCCTAAACCCTAAACCCTAAACCCTAAAAGCCCTAAGCCTTAAGCCCCAAACCCTAGGGTTTGAAGTCCTTTTGAGGTGCCTGGTCCCATGTGGCCAGTAAGGGTTCGGGTTCGCCAGCAGGGCGAACCAAAAGACAAGTTCAACAACGCAAGCCCCTCATTAGTGCTTGATGGGTTTATAAGTTGGGATGCAAGCTGCAAGGATCTTCAAACTTTAGCCTAAACCCTAAACCCTCTAAACCCTCTAAACCCTATAAACCCTATAAACCCTCTAAACCCTATAACCCCTATAAACCCTAAACGCTAGCGGCAGCTCATAGACTGAAGGAACCAAAGGGCCCAATGCCCCTTAATTCAGGAATAGACCTTAACTCATAAAGGGATCCTTAATAATTATGATGTTAGGTTTATTCCTCAATTAAGGGGGATGTGGGCTCTTTGGGAAAAAACTGATGGTCGACAAGCTCCTGGAAAGCAGCAAAACTAGCTTTTGGGGACCCTATGAACGGTAAAAGGGTTTGTGCTTCACATACCTTGATAGGGATTTTAGTAGGGTAGGGTATATGGCCCCCAGTTTTAGGGTTTGTTTGGTCCGCAAGGTCAAAGCACAGCGACAGCGACCGAACGAAAACCAGGAATGAAGAGCTCCAAGCCCTCTATGGCCAGTTTCTTTCCGAAACACCAAGCTGACGGCCCGTATGCACCCTGGTCCTAAGACTTTCAGTCTGAAAACCCCTGGGAATCCGAAGCCCCCAAACCCTGAACTCCAATCCGGGTTTAGGGTTTAGGGTTTAGGGTTTCGGGCTTCCTAAGCCTCCCCCCCCCCCCCCCCCTCCCCGCCCCCCTTGGGCTCCGGACGCTGTGGCCGCTGTGTACCTTGGACATCCTCAGTGCCGAGGCGTGCACGATGCTCTTTGCCGCGCCTGGAGGAGTTTAAGGTTTACAGGGGTTTAGGGTTTAGGGTTTAGGGTTTGGGGTTTGGGGTTTAGGGTTTGGGGTTTAGGGGGTTTACGGGGTTTTGCAGGGGAAGAGTTTGTCGGCTGGGGCAAGGGTTGAGGGGGAGGTGCACAGGGTTTGTAGTAGTATAGGGTATATGACCCCAATTTTAGGGTTCTTTTGGTCTGCAAGGGCTGCCACACGTGGGGGAAAGAGATGCCCACGCGGCTTGCGCTTGCCTTTCTGCCTCTCCACGCCCTCCAAACGACACTGCTCGAAGACAGCAACTGCAAGAAGCAAAGCGCAGGGAACCCTCCTAAACCCTAAACCCTGAACCCTGAACCCTGAACCCTGAACCCTGAACCCTAAACCCTAAACCCTAAACCCAAGTGTCTGCTGGAGGCGCCGTTAGGGCTCAGGGTTGTCGGGCTTAGGGTTAACGTTTAGGGTTGCTGTGTGTTCATCTGCCGAATTGAGCCGACGGCCCCTGAAACGATCAAGCCTAAACTGTCAACCCGAGATGTCAAATCAAAGCGTACCCCACGAAGACTGAAGACTGCCGCCGTCTATAGGGTCCTTAATATATATTTATATATATATATGTATATATATATATACTCCGTGCTACTCCCTAAGCTTCCCTGAGGTTCCCTAGGTACCTACCCCTCCAACCCTATAAGCCTTGCACAGCGCCGGCCACCGCGCCCACCGCATGGAACTTTCGACGGGAGGAACTCAAGACAGCCTGCCGCGGCTGCTTTGGTTTCTTGCAGGCTGGGCTAGCGCATCCCTTTCCTTAGGCATGCCAGCAAACCGAATGCCAAACGCCCTGTAAGCGTGTGGGTCAGTTGGGGTTTGCAACCTTTAAAGAGGCATCTCCAGGGTCTTTGCTGGAGGGATACTCAGTGACTTAGTGCGACACCTCGGGGGCGTTCTGGTGAACCCAGAAACCTGCTTATGCCCAAGGCCCGAAACCCCCACAGACAGAGCAAAACTACAGCCTGATGTGCCATATTCCAAACAAGGGTTTATGCAGGGATTCAGGTTTGGAGTTTTGTTCTAGACCCGAGAGTAACCTAGGGATACACAGGTACCCCTGCAGGTTTAAACGGACATATACGGGAAATTACACCCCCCCCCCCCCCCCCCCCCAAAAAAAAAAAAATCGGAGGGAGGAATACGGGCCTACTCTGGGTCCTAGTTATACAGTGTTTGCGCTTTATTTGAGGTTTCCATCATCGGGCTTTGGGGTCTGGGATTGGGGTGCGGTGTACGCAAGTGTCTGGGCTCAAAAGAAGGTCGCGGAGGCCTGAACTAGACCCAAGAGTAACCTAGGAATGAGAAGGGTGCCTTTTTGGTTTACATGGGGGCTTATAAGGGAACCTAAACCCTGGAAACAGGAAAGAAGGGCCTACTCCGGGTCCTAGTGAATCTCAAACCCGACCAAGTCACGAACCCTAAGTTCTGAGGGCTCTGATGGCTAAGGGTTGAGGGGTTTAGGCGGCTCAGGGGTTTAGGGCTTTAGGGTTTTAGGGGGTAAGGCTTGGGGTTTAGGATTTCAGGGTTGAACCCTCTATCATTACTTGTGCTCAAGCACGGCGACCGCCTCTTTCAGCTTCTGGAATGCGCCCTGCGCTCCCAAGTTCTTGGGTTTAGGGTTTAGGGTTTAGGGTTAGGGTTTAGGGTTTAGGTTCAGGGTTTAGGGTTTAGTCCGAAATCTCGGCCCTTTTCAGTCACCCCCAAAATCGTGCTATCCAATGATGCTAGGAACACCCAAGCACAGTTTCACAGTTTGGGACACCCCCCCCCCGCGCCGGTCCCGGTTTGGGAAGGGGGAGGAGGAGGGAACCCAAAATCCCCTAAACCCTAAACCCTAAGCACTAAACGCTAGGCAGGGGCTGTTGTGAGGTGGAGCTTCCTTTGGGGGTAAGGAGAGGGTGTTGGCCAGATCCAGAATATCCTGTGGGGTACCCAAAATATTAGGGGCCGCCTGAGAATACCAACCCCAACAGCCCTAAAGAGTGCTCCCCTTCCTTGGAGACGGAAAGAACTCTAAAATTGCGGGGGGTCATAAACCCTAAACTACTATAATTCCTATTAAGGTATATGAACCATAAGCCCTTTATATAGTTCTTGTCCTCCCCAAGGTTGTAGCTCACACCCCCAAGTTCAGACATACGTTACATGACCTGTTTGCTGCGACGTACATAGTTCCCTAAACCCTAAACCCTAAACCCTAAACCCTAAACCCTAAACCCTAAACCCTAAACCTGTGACTCCCAACTTCGGAAAAACTATGAAAAGGCAAGCTGTCCTGAAATCTCTTCCAATGTTCCCGCGAGCATGACTTAAGAACTTCGTAAGGTTGACAGCAACCAGGTTCATCACCCAAAATCCAAGGCTTTGATTTCAAGTCTAGGGGGATCAAGTACCTAACTAGCAATGGTAGAACCTTACGCGTACGACCCACTTGCTGAAGGAGATCGTGGAATTTAGTTACAAGCCATTGTTGCTATAACCCAACGAGGCTAACCTCGCCCCTGACTATACTACTGACTATTCTCTGGCGCACCGGTTGTCCCAGAAGCCAATTTCATCCTCTTCCAATACTCCCGGCCATCCAAACAATTTTACCGACAAATCATAAATGACCTCCAATCATGCTAACCAAACTGTCTCGCGATTGTCATGTTCAACTTGGGGGTAGGGCATGTATTTGATTACAAGTCGCACATGTCGTGAAACATGTATGCAGGGTTTGTCACTGCCCTGGCCTGTTGGCCCAACTTTTCGGCCAGCACAAGTGGTGTTGGAGCCACCTCCGACGGATGGGGATCTGGGGCCTCTAGGGGGTTTGGGGTTGAGGTTTACAACTAGTTGCTGAAGAACCCCCCAAAAAGCCAAAGACAATAACCCCTACATGGCCCTTCTAAGCCTTTCATTTTTTAGGAGGTTCTCAAGTGTTTCGGGCCAGCTTTGTGATATCACACAATTTCAGGCCCAGGCTCTTGGGTTTGCAGGGCTTAGGGCAGCTTTTCCGCGGCTGTTTAAACGTGTGCGGCCCTTTTCGTGTCAAGCCTCGCGGCCCCTCACAGAAAGACCCACTGCAAGCCCCCAGCAAAGGCACGAGGGGCTCAACCCTAGACCCGAGACCCGAAACCCTAACCTAAACCCTAGACCCTAAACCCAAGAGCCCCCTAGCCCCGACAAAGACCACAGCTGTAGCCCTAAATACCCCCAACACCACACATGCCTCAAACCCCAAAGCCCTGGAACCCATACTTTCACGAGGTCATGATCCGACGCCCTGAAGCCTAATCTCCCCTGCCCTCGACCACCCACATACCCGTTCAGCTACCCTATCAAGGAACACTTAGGGCCCGGGTGAGAGGTACCCGGGGGATCCTGGCACACAGCTAAGCCAGAACACCTCAAGCCCTAAACCTACACACAAAACCCTAAACCCCTCAACCCCTGAAACCCGGTGAAACCCCCCTTACACTTGGGATGTTCCCCACTTACACTGACAGAATAGGGATTCTAGTACCCCCGATTACGATCCCTACTACGGGACTGTTAGTAAAGGGTGGAACATTCCAACCTTAAACCCCTCTCCTCGCCAACCTCCATGGGTTCACTACCTCCCCTCCATACTCCCCCCCAGAATTAAGGCTATTTAGGGATGAATTAAGCCTAATTGTGGTCATTTAAGGGGGGAGCCTAGGGGGGGGGGGGGGGGGGTAGTATAGAGGCGGGTAGTAGCCCTAAACCCTAAACCCTAAACCCTAAACCCTCAACCCTGAAGGGCAGTGTAGGGGTAGTAGGGGAACCCCCCTGAAACCTGGTTCGGAAGAAGTTTTGGGGCCCAAAGCTCTCACCTCGCACTGCTCGATGAGCACCTTTGTCTCCTCCAGGTCCAGGTTGATGGTTGTGAGTGCTTTGATCTATAGGGTTTGAGGATTTTACCAACATGGTTTTCCAAAATACCCCTTACAGGGGGCCATTAGTTAGGGTTAAACCTAAACCCTAAACCCTAGACCCTAAACCCTGAACCCTAAGCCCTACAGAGCCTAAACTTACCCTAAACCCTAAACCCTAAACCCTAAACCCTAAAACCCTAAAACCCTAGAACCCTCAACCCTAAACCCTAAACCCTAACCCGAAACCCTAAACCGTTGAGCTGACGGCCGTTTCGGGTTTGTAGCTCTTCTGCTTCCCCCTGTATCCGGCTTCAGGGTGCAGTGAGGGCCTAGATTTCAAGTTACCGCCCCCATTTGGGGTTTCGGGTTTGAAGGCTTGAGGGTTTCAGGGTTTGAGGGTCTGAGGGTTTGAGGGTTTGAGATTTTAGGGTTTAGGGAAGGGTCTTTTTTCTGCCGGTGGAGGAGGGGCCGAACCTGGACCTAATTTTATGGTCAGCAACCCCAAGCCCTAAACCCTTAAACCCTCAACCCCAAAACCCTAGACTAGAAGGCCCGAGACCTGGTCGGGTGTTACAGGCGTTTTGGCCTGAGGACAATTGTGTAGTGAAAGACCCCTAAACCCTAAACCCCTAAACCCCGAAACCCCTAAACCCCGAAACCCCTAAACCCCGAAACCCCTAAACCCCCCTAAACCCCTAAACCCCCCTAAACCCCTAAACCCCTAAACCCCTAAACCCCTAAACCCTGAGCCCCTACAGTGCAGCATCCCCGATGTCCGATCCCTAAGCTCCAGTAAATTACTGTTTGCTTAAGAACCCCCCCCCCCCCAAAAAAAAAAAGAAACAAACAAGTTCCTCCATTTAAGGTCAATGTAGGGATGACTATCTTGGGGGTTCTTCAAGTCGTAGTAAAACCCGAACCCCTAGAGTCTGAGGTGAAGTCGGTGCCTCTTTTGAGACTCAAGGACTTGCATGTCAAGCCTTTTTTTGCATGGCATCGCAGTTTTTCTTGACCCACCTAAGTATGGGAGCCTTCTGAATAGTTGGGTTTAGGTGGGGGTTTAGGATTTCGGGCTTTGGCATATACGGTTCCCTAAACCCGATAACCCTAAAACCCGAAAACCTTAAACCCTAAACCCTAAACCCTAAACCCTATAACCTTAAACCCTAAACCCTAAACCCTAAACCCCGCACGAGGGCAGCTGGGTCCTTGGTGCCATGGAACTTCACTGTCAGGTTGTTGCCGGCCAGACCACGCACCAGGGCCAACTGCCATTCTGCGCCCACCTCGCTTTTGAAGGGTTTGGGATTTAGGGTTTAGGGCTTGGGGTTTATAAGGTTTTAGGGTTTAGGATTTATAAGGTTTAGAGGGTTTATAGTAGGGTTTATGGGGTTGATAGGGTTGGATGGGGTTTAGGGCTTAGTTACATGGGCCGTGAATATGGTCCCCTAGCTTGCTTGAAGGTCTCTGCAGTATTGGCCCTTGAGTTGGTGGGGTCAAGAAGGGCTGTGTTCTGAGGGTTTTCAGCGTCCTTGAGAAGGGGGGTGTAATGATTCCAAAGTGATGGTCAACCCTCGAAAGGGACCCCAATTTAGAGAAGCCCTCGTAGATAAGCAAGGGTACTAGTATACCTTAAGTTGGGTGCTCCTACACTGTACATAAACTAAACAAGACGGAACCCTCAGAAGAGAACGTGAATCCTACTGCGTACCCTCCATGGAGTTTCCTGAAGTCGGATACTTTGTTTTCTTATTTTCAATTTTTTGGGCCCCCTAATTACATTAGCGGCCAAGTGGCATCCCTGCTTTGGTAAAAAAAACCCTGTAATATTTTCCCAGAAATTTCAGGGTTCAGGGTGCCAGCGTACCCGTCCAATCGGTTCAGCGCCTGAGGGTTAAAGGATAAAGGGCATACACCCCAAACCCAGAACCCGAAACGGACGAAACCAAAAACAAGGCCTAACATCCCTCCCCCCCTCCCACCCACCCCAACCTCTTCATCAGCTTCACGCGTCCGCACCAAGACCACCGAACCGTCGTCCAACTTGCCGGGCCCTGCGGAGGGACCGTTTAGGGTTTAATTTTGGGGGTTAGGGTTTAGGGTGTTTAAGGGCGTTTAAAGGTGTTTAAAGGTGTTGAAGGGTGTTTAAGGGTGCTTTTTCTGGGCCTCTGATAGGTCAACCTTGTTGCTTAAGTCGCAATAAAGCATCGATCGAAGCTTCCACCTTGAAAACGAAAGAAAGGCAACACGGTAGGTCTGGTGGTACTACAGTAATAGCGTACCTGAAGGCTCCAATTCGACCTAAAGCCCCCCATAAAATGGGTTAAGGGCCGACTCTGGGTCCCAGGCTACAAGCCGCACTGCGCTAGGAAACTGTCACAGGAAATTGTCTTGGTTTAGGGTTTAGGGCATTAGGGTTTAGGGTTTTAGGGTTTTAGGGTTTAGGGTTTAGGGTTTAGGGTTTATGAAAAAATGCATAAGGTATAATCTGAGCAGGAATCAGAACACACACACACACACACACGAAGCTTTCTGATCGACGGTACAGTCGAGCATTTTCCTCGTGTTCTTGTTTAATTCACGACATCAGCATGTGCTTGCAGGACGACATGTATTACAGACTTGACCCCCAAAAACCGAAACCCTAACCCTACTAGCTCTGGTCCCTCATACTTCAGCCCGAATGAACCCTAGTAAGCCCCAAACCCCTCTGAGCCTAAACCCTAAACCCTAAACCCTAAACCCTAAACCCTAAACCCTAAACCCTAAACCCTAAACCCTAAACCCTAAACCCTAAACCCTAAACCTAAACCCTAAATCCCGCATCCGGCGAGCCGCCCATGTGCTTGTCGAAAGGCACCCCCATCTCGATCAGCGCCTCTAAACCCCAAACCCTAAACCCTACAAAACCCTGAACGCTAAACCCTTAACCCCTGAAGCCCTAAGACTCCTACGGCTGAAGAGCTGGTTGAGGGTTTAGGGGTTGTAGGTTGGGATGTTCCCCCTTCTACTAGCAGCCCTCAATGTGATAATCGGGTGCTACTAGAATCCCAATTAAGGACTGCTAGTATAAGGGGGCACATCCCAAGTTATAGGGTTCATCTGAGGACCAGGGTTTGAGGCCCATTTTTTTTGGCTTGGGGAATGAGTCGTTTTTGTTTTGGGGCTTGCAACGTCTTTAGGAGGCGGGCGTAGAGTTCTCGGTGAAGATCTCAACTCAATGAAGCTGCCATGCACTACCTCCCCACTGCCAGCACGACTCGTTGCAGACCCAAACCCCAGACCCAAAGCCCCTGTCAAGGCCCTGGGCGTTGCAAGTATGACGACCGACAATGACCGCCTAAGGCTGTAATCAGGTTTAGGGTTTATTCATGTTTTCCTGTTATCTGCTTGCCCGGACCTGAACCCTAAATTGCAACAGAGGGGTTTCGGGCAACTGCACATTTTATCAGCATTTAGAATGGGGACATCTTGGCGATTAATTATACTGGGCTACCGGTAAGTTTCTTACCAGGTGCCGTCGCAGTACGATTGACCGAGGAAAAGGTCGAGCCCTAATCCATAAACTCTAAGCCTACAAGGAAAATGACCATATAAAGCAGGGCGTGTAGTTCCAGTATCCCCGAAAGGACGCCCCACATGTACACTCAACACTGTGTTTACAAGGGAACATAAACACCTACCCTAAACCCTAAACCCTAAACCCTAAACCCTGAACCCTGAGCCCTGAACCCTAGAAGTCCAATAGAGCCTAAGCATCGTGTCCAGCCAAGCCACCTTGAGGGACTCGACGCCGTCGACTGTCGCCTCGGCCCAGGCGTGAGTTAAGGTGTTCATGGGGACTAAAATGGCCCTCTAGAAGCTTTAGGGTTTAGGGCTAGGGTTTAGGCTTTGGCGGGAGTTAGGGCTTTGGGGACCGGCCGTACGCGGAAAACAGGAGGATGGCGTGTGTGATCCAAAGTCTGTGGCTCATTGGCGCATGTCCAAAGTAGGAGACGCTCAGTGTGGAGGTTGAGGGAAAACTCGACTGGACTTCAGGGCCTAATATAGGGGCCAATGCAGAGCCATAATTTAGGAAAATATAGGGAGCTCAACCGCCACATGACCCTAAAACAAATGCGCATGACGAGTGTAACTGGCACTACACCAAAAACCGCCCCACAAGAAATAGCCAGTTTCCCCAGTAACCTGGGAGAAAAAGGGACGCCCTTTAAACTGCAGATCCCAAACCCTAAGCCCTAAACCCTAATCCCTAAACCCTGCAGCACAAATCGTAAGCAGCGCTGCACGACACGAAACCCCAGCCCACACAGAGCCAGGAGACAGCCAGGTGCACGGGGGTGTAGTGCCAGGAGTCCTCCGGAAAGTAGGGTTTAGGGTTTAGGGTTTGGGGTTTAGGGATTGGGGTTCAGGGCAATGCATTGCTCCGCGTGGAGCCGTGACGCGAAACATTGCCAACATTCCCTCAACCGACCGAAGAAAACCCTAGTCCCCCTGAGACTCTGCTTCGTGGCTGTAGGGTTCAACTTGGTAGCCCAGTATAAGGGTACCCTTTTTTGGGGTTGGTTGCTTTATGAGTGAACCTTGAACAAAACAAAGGGAAACGGGTACCACGGGTCTACCAAGCCAAGGGGGGGCTTAGGGTTTACCTGAGAAGGTTCCAATGAAGTTTTTTTTGGGGTGAATTAGTTATAGGGGATTCTAGTATACTACCCCTATAAGGTACTACATAGGAGCCTTTGGGTAGGGCCTCAGTAGCCCTAAGCCCACCAAGAGCTCCTCTTCCGCCAGCTCAAGCGGTTGGCGTGGCGTTAGCCGGATGACGGTGCGGACCTGGGCGCTTTCTGCAGTTCAGGGCTGAAAGGGTTTATGGGGCTCTTGACTTTTCCGTGTTGCAAGATGTAAGGTTGCAGACAGTTCACTTACTCACTTTGTACTCTCTTTCACGTTCATAATCTGGTTCACGTGTCCGTCCGCATGAAACGCAATCATAATATTATTATAGCGTGCATTCCTTACCTATAATGTTTATAATGGGTGCTCTTCATGGACGGACTCTTGAGCAGTTAAGGTGTCATGAGATTGATGGTGTACGAAAGGAAACGTAAAGGTTATCCGCTCTCTCCCTGTTACCCAATATTAAGACGGTTTTTGCACTATAATTCATGCGCTAGCTTGTATTTATAGTAAAACCGTATTCATGATGGGGGCTCTGGAGCAGATACAAGATTCATGCGGCTCATTCATAATCTTGTTCATCTTGTTCCTGTCTCACCTAAAGGTCTTAACTTCTAAACTCGTGAATCTTCCTCACTGTCTGGTTCCCTTCACTCGTTCACCCACACCTTTAAGACCAATTGAATCTTCCTCACTGTCTCGTTTCCTTCACTCGTTCACCCAAACCTGCCATCAGATTCATTCTCCTTGGGTACCTGGTTTCTGAAGTGTTCTGAAGGGAGGGGGATTCAAGGGGGGTATAACCCAAGGCTCCACTACTCCCTAAGGCTCCCTAAGCTTCCCTAGGTACCTACCCCCGTGAACCCCTCTCCCTTTACAACCCTGAAATTTCTAGAGTTTTGTGCTCAGTGGGAGGTCTGTTGAGCTCCATCGCAAAGTGCCAAGCTGCTAAGCTTGCTGCAGCTTCCCTGCCTAGCTGGGCTCTTCTAATTAAACGGAACTCTCACCAGATTCTCTGATTCTCTTCGGATAACCACATCTTAAGTACGGTGGACCGGACAAACCGACTCGAATGTCTGAACCCAGAAATTCCAACAGCCCTGCGGCACTGCGCCCTACCACCCTGCACTCCAAAAACCCTGAATCCAAACCTGCCGCCAAAACCCTGAACCCTTCCCGCCCCCCCTCCCCGGCCCCCCCAAGAAAGAACAAGCCCCGAAATCATCAAACCTTAAGGCCCTAAAGCACACCTGAAGCTCAGAAACCCATCAGATGAAGCCCTAAAGCCCCTAAAACCACCCAAACAACGCTCAACCCAAAACCCCCCCCCGTACCCACAGCTGACCTCCGAACCCAAAACCCCCGAATTCCAGAACAAAAACTAGAAAGTCTACAAACCCCAACCCCGCCCCTCAACACCCTCAAACCCTAAACCCTCCCCCCGCACACCCTCTAACCCTAAACCCTAAACCCCAGATGCCCTAAACCCTTGACTCCATCTGCCCTAAACCCCAAAGCCCAAAGCCCAAAGCCCAAAGCCCAAAGCCCAAAGCCCAAAGCCCAAAGCCCAAAGCCGCACGCAGAGGCCCCTGGCGCACTCCGCGTCGTTGGCCAGCGCGGCGTGGTGCAACAAGCCCCGGCCCTGGAGATCAACGGCCTGGGGCGCGTCTGCTAGAGTTTAGGGTTTAGGGTTTAGGGTTTAGGGTTTAACCCATAAACCCTAAACACCCCCAACCCAAAACCCTCAACCCTGACCCCCCCCCCCCCCCCGCCCCCCAAAGCCCCCATGTTGCGCCTCGATCTGCTCGTGCGAGGCGTCCGAGAGCTCCTGGGACCATGCAAAAGGGCGCTGGTTCTGGTGGGCTAAGGTGTTTAGGGTTTAGGGTTTAGGGGTTAGGGGTTAGGGTTTAGGGGTTTAGGGGTTTAGGGGTTTAGGGCTTAGGGCTTAGGGCTTAGGGCTTAGGGCTTAGGGCTTAGGGTTTAGGGGTTAGGGGTTAAGGTTTAGGGGTTTGGGGTTTAGGGTTTAGGGTTTAGGGCTGGTGGGCTAAGGGGCTTTTCGGCCATTTCAGGGTTTAGGAACCTTAGGGTGTTTTTGCGCGTTTTGGGGTTCAGGGTTTGCAGGGTGTTCAGGTCTTCTGGGGGGTTTAGGGTTTCTGCTTTAGTGTTTTAAAGTAAGGAATGTACTTACTTTAGGCTGTGTAGGAGATCCCTACTACGATCTGAAGTCTATTCAGCAAAGACTAAACCCTAAACACTAAACCCTAAACCCTAAACCCTAAACCCGAACTCGAGTGAGGAGGGGGATTGAAGGGCAGCACGTGCCTTGACACAAGACCATTGGGATCAACCTCAGCTCAGCCCGAAACCCCAAAACCCTAAACACCAAACCTAAACCCGAGGCTCTAAATCCTAAACCCTCAACCCTCAACCCTACACCCTCAAACCCGGAAACCCTGAACCTGAGGCTTGAGGGCAAGTGGTCGTCAAGCTGACTAAAGACTTCCCTTCTCGGTCCTCCCGTGAGACGAAGCAGAAGACGAATCCCTAAAACCCTAGAAAGCATTTAGTAAGGAAGTCCCTCACTTTGCTCTCCTTAAAACCCTAAACTTGGGATGTTCCCGCCTATACGAACAGTCCTTAGTAGGGAATATAATCGGGGGTTCTAGAACCCCTCCTAAGGACCGTTAGTATAAGGGGAACATCCCAACCCTAAACCCTATAAACTCCTAAACTCCTAGACTCCTAAAGTCCTAAACTCAACCCTAAACTTTAAACCCTAAGCCCTATAAACTCCTAAACCCTAAACGCCGGGCCCTCCTTCACCGCGAGAAGAACGGTGGCTTGGCCGCTTCCGGCCGCCCGGTGCAAGGCTGTACGGCCCTGTTGGTCAGGAGTGAGCCTGGGGCGTCATGATCTGGGGTTTTGGGGTTTTGGGGTTTTGGGGGGTTTAGGGTTTAGGGTTTAGGGTTCAGGGTTTAGGGTTTTGGGTTTGGGGTCTAGGCGGTTTAGGAAATACCTTATTGAGAACCCAAAGCCTTCTTTTTTGGAGGTTACCTACAAACCTAGGGTTCTAGAGCCTACAAACAAGTAGGTTTGGGAGTCTTTGGCTAGGGCCTTAAGGAAATGGGCACCACCCACTTCCTAAATCGCACCCTCATCCCCAAACCCCACCGAAAACACTACAAAAGGGGCCTTCATAATCACAATACGGTTTTGCGTTATTTTTTTTTTTGGGGGGGGGGTTTCTGAAAGTAGACTTATATAGGGGCCAGAAGGGAATACCACAGGTAATTATTCCGACCCCTAGAGTAGACCCTTCGGCCCTAAACAACACGTAGCCTGAATCAAGGGACGAAAGGAGGGACCCCCCACAAGGGACCTTAGGGGTTACAGGGACCTTAGGGGTTCCGCAGAGGATATCTAGGGCTACTTGAAGATGCATGCCGAGCCGCAGTTCCTCGGCTGTCACAACCTGCACGGGCATGTCTTAGGGGACTTACTGTGGGCCACTTGGTTCCCTCATATGGGCCCTTAAAAGAGGGCCCCTTATATACCACTTATATACTTTAAAACCTACTACGCCAAACACAACACATGCCCCAAACCCTGAGCGAACCCCGAGCAAAAACTCCTACGCACGAAGCAGACACTTGGATCCTAAACCCCTAAACCCTGAACCACTAAACCCCTAAAACATACCGAAACCCAAAAACCCATGCCCTAAGGATAGTTACATGGTCCCTTAAAATGGCCCCTTGCCTTCTTATTAAAGGGTTCTGAAGTACGGGCCCTTGGACTGTATAGGGTAAGTATAAACTTGGGTTTAGGATTTGGGGTTAGTTTGTGTTTGGGGGAAGGCTCAGGCAATTCTTGCAGCCCCCCAGAAGCCATAGACTCTATGACCCTAAGCCAGAAACCCTAAACCCTAAACCCTAAACCCCAAACCCTAAGTCTTGTGGCCAGAAATACTGCAAGGGGGGGACTTGTTGATGCACTCTGAAGACTATGGGCTTCTTGCTGACCCTAAAGCTGACCAATTAACCTTTAAAAACCCCACAACCTTTACATCGCTGAAACCCCGAAATTTCGGTTTAGGGTTTAGGGTTTAGGGTTTAGGGTTTAGGGTTTAGGGTTTAGGGTTTAGGGTTTAGGGTTTAGGGTTTAGGGTTTAGGGTAGAACCCAAAAACCATGGAACCCTGCACCCTAAACCCTACATACCTGAAGCCCGAAAACCTACAGCCCTGAACCCCGCAAAACCCTACAACCCTGGACCATTAAAGTAAAAACTTGAAGCAAAACACCAAAGCCCTAAAAACCCTAAAAGCCTGAGAACCTAAACCCGAACAACCCTAAATGCCTGAAGCCCTACATAACTAGAGCCCTAAACCCTAAAGCCCTGAACCCTAAATCCTAAACTCCCCAAACCGTAAACCCTAAACCCTAAGCCCTCCAAGCCCTCAGCCCTAAACCCTCAACCGTAACCTCCCCAAGCCCTAAACCCTAAACCCGAAACCCGAAACCCTAAACCCCAAACCCTATACCCACAAAAAACCCTAAACCCTAAAACCCTGAAGCCATGCCTCTGAGGACAGCAGCTCCTGCAGTAGCGCAGCAAGGCCCTGCACTCCCAGAGGAAGTGTGGAGCGTTTCAGGGTTTAGGGTTTAGGGATTCAGGAGGTTTAGGTTTTCGGGTTTGGGGAGTTTAGGGAGTTTTAGGGATTTAGGGATTTAGGGATTGGGGAGTTTAGGGATTCAGGGTCTAGGATTTGGGGAGTTTAGGGGAAAGGGATTCAGGGTCTATAGGGTTGAGGGTTTGGGGAGTTTAGGGATTTAGGGTTTAGGGTTTGAGGCTTGGGGTTTAGGGATTCAGGGTGTAGGGTTTAGTGCTATAGTGTGGAGGGTTTTACTGAAGCCGCGAAGCAGAACCCTCAACCCCTAAAAACTTCTTCCCTAAAGCCTATACCCTCAAACCCGAAACCCTAAAACCTAAAAACCTCAGCCGCCTCGCATCGCATGGCGACCAGCGCCCCGGCGGGTCGTGCGCCGCGGAGGGCCTCCATCCGGAAGATGTCCTCCACGTCCTCTTGTGCTTTATAGGGGTCTGGGTTTAGGGTTTAGGTTTTAGTTTCGGGTTTAGGGTTTAGGGCTTTACGGTTTAGGGCTTTAGGGGTCTCAGGGTTTTGGGGTTTGAGGCTCTGGGTTTGGGAGGCTTGGGGCCCCCACGTCTATGGCCTACAATCAAGAACGCCTTCGCCGCTGTTCGCATTTTGGGGCTTGTATGGGCTTCTGCGAAGGTACCCTAAAGCCCAAACCCCTACACCCTAAGGCCCTAAGGCCCTAAGGCCCTAAGGCCCTAAGGCCCTAAGGCCCTAAGGCCCTAAGGCCCTAAGGCCCTAAGGCCCTAAGGCCCTAAGGCCCTAAGACCTTAAGGCCCTAAGGCCCTAAACCCTAAACCCTAAACCCTAAACTCCTCCCACTCCCACATTTCTGGGTCGCAGCCCACAGCCAGCGCAGCGCTGGCCACAGCCTCCGCGAAAGGCTTCCACGCCGCCTCAGTGCGAGGGACACCCTGGGATCCTACTATTTTAGGGGTCTAGCTTGCAGCAAGAAGCATTCTTCCTCAGAAAGGCTATATAAGGGGTTCTGATCCTTTTGTTTTGCGCGGTTCTTACTACGCAAGTAGTAGTCTTAGTTGCTGAGTTCCTAAGCCCCCCCAAGAGTGTACACTTTCAGTTTTATAGGGGTTACAGTAGTGCAAAAGTGTAAGGTGTACTCACTCAGCTACTAAGTCGGGGTCCCCACCCCCAAATGTATTGAATACGCCCTAAACCCTCAACCCTCAACCCTAAACCCTAAACCCTACACCCTAAACCAAAAACCCTAAACCCTAAACCCTCAACCCTGAACCCTAAACCCTAAACCCTACACCTGGTCTCTGCCTCCAGAAGCGCCTGCACCGCTGTAGTCCGGCCGCGCCTGCTCTCTCTTGTCGAGGGCTTTCATGTTTTGAGGGTTTAGGGTTTAGGGTTTAGGGGTTAGAGTTTACGGTTTATGGGGTTTTAGATTTAGGGTTTTAGGTTCAGTCGTTAGGGATGTTTTGGGGCTTGGGGCTCGTAGGTTGAGGGCGAACCCCCGCCCACCACCAAGAATGACAACAAGGGATAGTATTCACTACCCTCGGGCCTTATCGTTTCCTCACTGTGGAAAGTTTAGCCCCAAACCCTAAACCCTAAAACCGAAACCCTGAACCCGAAACCCTAAACCCCAAACCCTAAACTCAAGGCTTAGGCTCCTCCTACAGTACCCCCCTCAACAAAATTTTGGGTTTAGGGTTAAGGGTTTAGGGTCACTCCGCCCCCTAATTGCAGAGAGCAGAACCGCACGCAATCGTAAGTGAACTGGCATGAGGCCCCCCGACTGTAATTCCTTCACAGGCGGTTCTGCTGGGCACCTAATTTTGTTTAACATGTTCAAGAACTAGCCCTGAAAGAGGTGCATCGATCGCCTTGAACTTCATCATAAGCCCTACCTTTGAACCGGAAGCACCCCGACCCTGACCGCCGCCGACTTCTCGCAAGCATACAGCACCGGTGGCCTATCCGCCAGGACGATGGGCGTGGGACAGAACCTGAGGCGTTCGGTCTTTGTTGCTCTTGGAAGCCGAACCAATGCAATAAAAAGTGCCCGTCTGGGGCTAATGACTTGATAAGGGAACCTTGAACCCCCAAAAAGGCGCAAACGGGTATCACTGAAGGCTCCCCATATTGGTTCTACTTTCATGGCTCTCAGATCCCCAGGTAAGGCCTAGGGCTTAGGGTTTAGAATTTAGTGCTTAAAGAAACTGTATAGGGCTTGGGTCCCAATAACGCTCTTACCGAAACGTGTTTACCGAAACGCTTGAACCCAAAAGGTTTACTAACCAAAACGGGGTTTCGACGAAACGTTTCTCCTTTACTTTATTCTTTCTCAATCTTTGAATTCCATGGCTGGATGCCCTAAACCCTAAACCCTAAACCCTAAACCCTAAACCCTAAACCCTAAACCCTAAACCCTAAACCCTGTGGCCGGACATGAAGACTATATAATTCAGATATGGTTATCGAGAGTGGTGCGAAATATTGAAACGTGGTGCAAGAGGCTTGTGCATTTATAAGCTCATATTTCAACGCGGGATACCTTTGAAAACATCATAGTTCATCATCATCAGGCAAGACTTGGATTTCCGGAGTTCATTTGAACCCCTTGAAGATTCAGAATATACCAACCTTGCATGTATGACGATTCTGCGTCTTTTTCCGAAACTTCCGGATCTCCATTTCTATCAAACAGGAAAACTAGATACATGAAATAATTCATATCCAATTGGATTTCAACCGGGCCCACGATGTTTTGACATAACTCATACCTCAATGTTGGCAAAAATCTGATGAGAATGAATGGATATGCATTCAAATGCTCGAAAACATTTCGCTGGCGATCTTCGCCCTTGCTTGTGGCCTCCTTTCGCGGAGAACCAGGCTTTGCAGTGTCCTCGGTCTCTTCTGCAACAGCCGGCTCGTACCGAGTAACTCCGAAGAAACAGGCTCCTAGCGTGAACTTGCCGCAGCAGAGATGCAGTGATACATCATCATCTCTCCCTAAGGATCCATGTACCTATGTAGTATATACTTGGGCCTTAAAGGCTTCCCATATAAGTAGCTTTAGGGCTCAAGTATGTACGATATCGGTACATGGACCCTTAGGGTCTGCGAGCTTGGCGTTGACTTCGCTGATCTCTTCCGTGGTTTTGGGCACGACTCGAGTCGAAGGCATGCTTCTTCGTGGGTTTAGGGTTTAGGGCTTATACAAATTGTATAGGGTTTGGGTCTCAGTAACGTTTTCAACGAAAAGTTTTCGACAATTCAAGACAACTCAACCAGACGTGTTCAGTGATGTTTTTCATCGAAACGCTTTCAACGGAAGTTTCTCGTTTACCTTTCTCTTTTGCCTTCATCTTTTGGATTTTCTTTCGTCGTAATCATTGAATTCCATGGCTGGGTGTGAACGAAACATAGCCATGCGCGAAAATTGGATCTTTCAAACCTGATACTTTGGCTGGTGATCGGCAGATCCCGGGAGTACCGAACGAAGGTTTTAAAAGAAAGTTTTGAATCCATTGAACGAAAGTTTTGACCTACCGAGGGCTTCTGCTTGGGACTTAGGAACAGTGGAGGGGAAGGCCACAGAGGTTTAAGTCTAAGTGAATTGAGCACTTGGCCTCCCGGAGGCACTTTGGAATATTTTACTTAAACTCGGCTAGTCAGTTTAGGGTTTTAGGGGTTCATTCATGGCTTCGGGGCTATGGGGCTTTCGTGCTTCTAGGGTTTTTTAGGGGGTTCAGGGCACAAGGGCGCAAAGACCTTATACAGCCCTGAACCCGAGACTCCTAAACAGAGTCGAGGTTCGTGCAGCGCTCCACCTCCACGCAACCCTCGCGGAAGCCA